CTTCTTCTACTTTGAACGCCGCTTCTTATTCTTCTGTTACAGTGAAGAACATGTCGGAGTTTGCAAAAGCTGTAATTTGACCATGTTCAAAATTAGCATTTTCTGATACATATTTTAAGGTAAACTGACCCATGGGACAGCAAAAATATTTCAACGGATGCAAATGTGAACGCACCAGTGACGGAACAAGGGAACGAAAATAACTCTAAAAAAACTAGTAACGTCAAAAACCTTACTTTACGTCAGCGACCATATCGAAGTAGGGTTCCCATATCTTGTTTACTTCTATATATAGCAACACAAAAAATAAAGCAGGCTATTAAAATATTTAAAAAACGTATTTTTTAACTTCGATCTGCCCTTAAATGTACATCATGACATTGCGTGCATTGCAAATTAACATGTGTGAAAAGAGGAAATCATTATCATAGAACAGACAAAATCTGAAAGGGAGCGCGTCAATCAAGTCTTTGAGTCCACTCAGAAACCAAATACTTCATGTAGAGGCAGTGTTCAGGCCTCTGAATCGTCTCTGGATGCGGATCTGGATTCGCGTCGTCTCGCTGTCAAAGAGCTTGCTGCGGGGCTTCCGGCAGCTGAGAGCGCACCGCAGCGGCAGGCGCAGGAAGCTCTGAAAGTGGCAAGGCGAAGATGACAAATGTGCTGAATCGAGTAACGTTACGAGAGGGCAAAAGTGATAGAGGCAGAGAAATGGAGGAGAGAAATAGAAAGATTGATAAGGTACCATGTGGCTACGGTCCTACAAATAACCAAACAGAAACATGAATCAGATAATAGTGATGGCGTTTAGGCGCTTATGGTGTGAAGGGTGAGGGAAGACTAATTTAGGAAAGGAATTGTTGGGATGAGTATTTCGTATTTCCGGACGCTGGTCATTCGATAGGGAAGTTTGATACCTGTTTTAGCCGGATTGTGGCAGTGTTCCTTTCTCGTTGGAACGTAACATCCGGCGTCGACCTAGTCGTCAACTTGCGGGTTTCCTCTCCAGTATCTCTCTCATCAGTGCTATGCGCCAGCTCGCAACTGATCTCGCGATATGATTAATAGTGGGATGAGATTATGATCACCCGCGGTTCGGCCTGTTTGTTCGCATACCGCTCCAGCATTTGCCGGATATAGGAGCTACCGATCAGCCTGAATTCTCCAGACAGCAGTCGAATTCCATCTAACTCTTGTCGAAAATTCGCCATAATCGGGACTCGACCTTCCCGTCAGAGACCCTGCCGCGGTAGTGGTTGTTGTCACTGAGGTACTGTTAGAAGAAGAAAAATAAAAGGTGTATGAGTGCGGAGGAAAGAGTCGAAAAATTGTAGGCTGGAGGAAGACAAGCGAAGACGGAAAGAATTCGTGAGAAGTAACAAAGTACAGACGTTGACATGAACCAAGGATTCGTCTACTTTTGAAGTTGAGAAGTCAACAGAAATTGCAAAAGGAAAAGTAACGGTGGCAGCAGATGAACTTAAAACGAAGGAATACACGGAGTAAAGTGGAATTTATTTGAAAACGGTCACTGTGACAGGTTTGATAAGCATAGTAGTCATTGAAAGATGATAGAGAAAAAAAATGACGTCTCTAAAGTTGAACAAAAAACAGTCTATAAGAATGATACACTTGGAAACAATTTGGAAATAATCTAAACAAATTAGCGGAGGGGGTAGTGCCAGCAAGTGACTGGTTCACACGAAGTTCCCTAACCATTAAAAATACGTTAGGAAAAAGCGATATTGAAGAAGATGTTTTGAGGATGACAACACCTAATTCCACGAACGTTCACTGAGAGAAGCATAAGTGCAGTATTCTGTTGTTTGTCATAAGTATTACGAGCTCTGTCCGGCGATTGGAAGACCCGGCGATTCAAGTCTTAAAGATAGACCAGAGGGAAATTGTCTAGGTTGAGTGGGGCAAAACAGGTTTCAAATTATTGTAGAATGATATGATGAAGATGAAAATGAAAGAGATTGTCAAATCATGGTAGGAGCGAGGTAATAAGTACTGAATTTCCTCACTTACTATGGAAGATGTAGGTTGTAGCATTATATAAACTCGAAACGGGGGAGTCAACTGTTGTAAAGGACGTTGACATTAGATTCTGTGGAGGTAATTGGGCAACGAGAGCAAAGAACTTGTGATGGTAGAGTGTGATAATAGCTTATTAGAAGCGGCAGCGAAGAAGTAGCCAAATTAAGTATTCTGCGACAGCTGAAAGGCCAACAGCGAAATAGTTCTCTACATGGTGAGCTAGTCCGGCGCACCGATTTTCGCTCGGCCAGTTTACGTCTCGAACCACGTGATCACAAATCGGTCACTTCGCTTGGATAGCCATACCAGACGCTGGCTTCCATATTGCTTGGAGAGCGAAATGTGTTGAGAAACATTTTGAAACTGGTATAACGTGATAAGTTTCAACGGTGACCAACCAAAAAACAAAGTGTACTTACATAAAAAATGCAGTATTAAAAAGTGCTTCATATATCTGTTTAAATGACTTGGAATGAGGTGATCATTTTGATACATGGCTGCATTTCGAATTCCTGCTAATATTGTGAAGCAAACTGGTATCTGAAGCCTATTGGCTGAAGACGATGTGCATAATATTAATATTATTGTTTTACTTTTTCGTTACTGCTTTCACAGTACACAGAAAATAATTTAATGTTGCGGAAAAACACGAATTTTCGACACAAAGACATTTATATTCGAGCCCTGTTAAAGAAAAAAATGGATAATTATTGTCCCTATGAGTATTAAATTACTTCCTTTAACACATTGTGCTGACATAATCCATGTTTTGTGGATCCTTGATACCGAAAAATCAATTGACGGCCAACCGTCTGTCAGGCTGTGAACAACACAAGCGGCTAAATCATTACCAGGACTTTCACAAAAATTGATTTTTATCAATCGATCTGGCTGGTGTCAAATTATTTTTATTGCATTTTTTCGAATGCTGAAAAATTGTATGTGAAACCAAGCTTTATATTTTGTATTTGCAGTAATGTTTAAAAGCCATTTTCTTAAATAAGGCTCCAAACTTTTCAATGAAAATTATCATTTACGACGATATTTTGCTCTTCTTTAACATTCGTATGTTAATAGTTCGGTTCTACTATTAGGAAACGAAAAAAAATGAGATTTTTTTTTAATATACTTTGGGCTGCGATAGATGGCAGCTGCAAGAGTATGTGGCAAGTTCGAATAGCTAGCCCAGATCAAAGATCATAGAAAACTAATACGAAAAAGTCTGAGCCATTCTGTAGCACCACTAGTTACTTCTCGTTTACGTAGTATAAGGAGAGTTATGTAATGCTGTAGAAAATCGATTTTGAGAATTCTATGAAAATACTCATTTTGAAGTCCTCTGATACCGAAATTATTTTTTTTACCGATTTTTTTAAACTTCTGTTCGACCGTCCATCTGCCCGTCCGTCCGTGCTCCAAATTTGTTGTGTTATATGTCTTTAAAAATTTCTACAGCACGTACGCTCGTTTAGTAAAATTTTATGGAGATAATTTTCTTGTGCTATACGTTTTTCCTGTATTAATTTGTGACGTAGATATTTGAAGAGAGTCGCATAGAGAATACCTGTTTTGCGATTTGCGTACGCTCTCCTGACTTTTTTAAAATTATTATTTCCTGATATTAGCTGGATCTTCTTCTAAAAGAAACTAAAAAACACTATTTTTTTTCATTTGTACGAAGTACTTTGGGTAAATAGATTTTAATCTGCCAAAAATCTTGTTTTTCCACACTTCAATTACGATTTTCAACATTTTTTTTATCCCTGGGTGCAGTTTTGCCTGTCTTAATCCGCTACCCTCTTTATAGATTGACCAACTCCCCAAGCTTTTAAAATTGGCCCTTAGTCACGTCTGAAGGAGGACTCAGAGATTCACAACTTGAACTAAATGGTAAACTATCGATCGTAATGTTATTAGTATATTCGAATATTACACGATACCAACACAATTCTACCTAATGATTAGTAATCCTATTATTTTGGTTCCCAAAGCCTCCTGAATTTTCCTATCTAAAATAAAAGTCAATATTAGACTATCCATACAAAAAGTGAAATATAAAAACTAATTTTATCATAATTTTCAGGTCTCCAGATGTCAACCGAAATGAAGTTGCATTTGCTTATTTTAAACATAATGTGTAAAAGTATATCGATTATGTTTGACTGCAATATGCATAACATGAATGTATTTGTTCTACCTTATATCTTATGATTACGAAGATGCCGACGTAAATGAAAATAATGAATTGAAGAGAATGCATAGATGATTAAATATATTAACTTCAAATCTAAGCGATTTTATATAAACGCAATGACTACTCATCCCAAAATGACATTAAAAGTAAGTCACACATGTATTCCCATAAAATAATACCTACGTGAGTTTCTTCCTGCCAAGATTCAGACGTTTGCATTTTTATTAAAGTATGTTTTCTATAAAATACTAATCTCGTCTACCCTGAGTTGAACATGGTTAAAACAGGAGCGGATCCAGAGACAAATTTTGGGAGAGAAAAATTAAAAATATTTTGGTCAAATGCGTCATTACAGATTTTGTAAAATGTTGCTGGCTACCCTCAGCTCATGCTCTGATAAGATTTTATTCGTATTAATGATTATCCGAAAATGTTTTTGCTTGAAAGTTTCGTGACTAGTTTATATTAAAAGTTAAAGAAAAATTAGGGGGGGGGGGTTTCCCTCTCTGTGGAACCGCGCCTGGTTAAACTTCAATCAAGCTAAGCGCAAATTCAAGAAGACATTTCAGTCTTATATCAAATTCATTATTTGTATCAATTATGAAATGTCGGTGTGACTTGAATTATTTAAAATACATAGTTTACGTTACATATTCCTTCGTTTTAACAATAAACAAAGCACTTTCGAGCAATGATCTCTTAAGTAAATATCTTAATTAATGGTCTATATTAATGCGTTTTTGAATCGCACGTGTTTCCCTCCTTTGTACGTGGTCCACGCGCATGACGTTTCGCCGGTTTCAAGACGCCACTACCGGCTACATAATCTTACTCGAGTTAGTCCTCTCACGTGGCGACAGTTCTTATAACAGAAAAATCTAACTCCAATGGCTTGTTCACTTCTTTTTCGTATTTCTGAGAACGATTCCGTTCCATTCGTCTGTTACTAATGTTTCAAGATTATGCGACCATTTCTTAACCTCAAAAACGTAAATGTTAAAACGTCTTATAATTGAAAGTGATATAGTTTCCCGATAAATATGCAAGCCGTGCGAGTAATTGTGGTGGGTGCTGGTGCTTCTGGAATTGCAACAGCGAGTCGTCTTTTAGAAAATGGTTTTACAAATATCACAGTATTAGAAGCAGAAAATAGAATCGGCGGTCGTATTCACACTGAAAATTTCGGTATGTATTATTTAGAAATACCTAGCAAATCGAACTTAATGAATGTGATTTACAACCATTCAATTATTTTTGTAGCTGATGGAATTGTCGATATGGGTGCTCAGTGGGTGCATGGGGAAGAAGGAAATGTTGTGTTCCAAATGGCAAACCCACGGAACCTACTGACAGAAAGTATTACTTCCCTTTTTGATAGCACTACTGTGTATGTGGAATCATCTGGCAGAGCTTTCAGATTCCAAGAAATGCCTGATGTATTTGAAATACTTAGTAACATTGATAAGGACAGCAAGATTTTTTTCAAGACAAATACCGGTTCAGTAGGAGATTACTTCATTTCTGAGTAAGTAATAAATGTAAAATTTTGTTAATAAAATTTTATTGATCATTCACTTTTTACACGTCAACACAAATAAGGAAAATATTTGCCTTAAAAACATAAAATTACACATTTCACATAGAAAATATAACAAATGCAAAAAATTTTCTCACATATGCTTTAATTTTATTTACTTATAAAAATATAATCACAGTAAACAAGCAATAAAACATTACATGCCTCGTCATGATTCGATTATTTGTTGGCGATTGTTTCTTTTCCTTTTACATCTCCACAACATTCTATCTGCAAGATTGCCGATACTGCTAGATTTAACCCATGTTTCAAAAACGGGATCCCTCATAAGTGTTTTCTTAGTTAAGTGAGTTAAATCATCAGGTATGACACAACGAATTTTCTTATTTAAACATCCATTGTTCACATAGTACTTCTTCATCAATGTGTATATAAACCTCGTGTATTTGCAGTCAATGTAGGTAGATTCAAATTGAAGTGGTGGTCTTAAGTCCACTATAGCTTTCAAATAACCCTCTGTAATAATTGGAATAACATAGTTCACCTGGAACAAATATTGTCAATGAGATTCAGAAATTACAAATATTAAAATTACAAAATGAAAATAAAACATACCTGTGGAAACGTTCCACTAATGAATAATTCGGGATCAAATGAAACATCATTTTCATGTTCATTTAAAATCAACACACCGATAATTTGTCCATCTTCTCTTTTTGCACGTAATGATTGTGCTATTTGAGTAGCATGGTTTATTCCATCATCAGCAAAAGTCAACATCACGATACAGTCATATTTCTGTAAAACGAAACAATCACCAAATTTGAAAACCTTTATTTCAAACAATGTGTTTACTCCAGTTACTTTCACATTTTTAATTGTGTAAATTGCAAATCTTTATCATGACGCCAGGTGCAAAAGTGAATTTTGTAACTTACTGGCTTGACTTTCTTCTGTTGCTGTGTTCTCTCTGTATTATTAATTTGCACCACTTGCACATTCCTTGGCACGTTTGTAGGAGCTGAATTCTGAATACATTGATGCTCAACTTTAGGTGATCTGGGAGATACTGAAACTCTACTTGCACGATGAACATGCTCTTTGAGTTCTTGCAAAATTAGAGGTGGTGTTGGTATAAAATTTGGTCTGATGACACTTTCCACAGTCTGCTCTCTTTGATTAAAAATTTGCTCATCAGCCTCTTCACCATCTAGATATGAATAAAAACCATGAAATTCCAAACATACTTCACATAACTGCACTATGAACATAATTAAAAATAAAATATTTTTAAACAAATTCTCAAGCAGTAGTCATCCATATTCTTCTTGATTTCTAGGCGATTAAGGATTTTGGACTTAAGGATACGACAAAACTTTATTTTAGTACAATTTAAGTAAATTCTAGGTTCTAAAACTCATCCCTAATAAATTTTATTTACATTTATTGTTTCACACACCTAAATTATGATCAATAAAATTTATTTTGCATTTATCATTACCTTTCTGTGTAATTCTTATTCTTTTAAATTATCTCAATTAAAACTAGTGAGCAATTAATGCAAGCAGATAAATTTGAAGCTATCAACATTATTTTTTTCTTATTCAGATTTGCCATGGATTAGATACTTTAAATGACACTACTTCTGTAAACACCTGAACATTATTGCACACTCAATATAACTTAAATTCTTTTAATATTTAATAAATTAATTAGGATAAAAGCACCAGTTTTGGCGATTGATTGAAACATTTGCATAATTTTCTTAAAATTCTTCGGCTATGGTGTTAAATTCATGTGGTATTCAATGGTTGAATAGGTTATCTTTTTCCGAATCGATTCCTTAGCAAATTTTCAAGCCAATTTGTACCATTTTTCCATTAATTTATTTTTGAAACCCTGATTTTGATCTGGTAGTGGCTACTTGAAAGTACCCAAATTTTGGGAATCTGCAAAAACTTGCCTCGGTTATGTCTCCTCAAAATTCGACCCCCTAAAGGTATTTGAGACACTTTTAAGTCCAAATAAAGAATGAATACATTACATTATTACAATATAAGCTGTACTTAATCAGATGTTTTCAACATATTCATTACACATAAAACAAGAGAAAAGGAATAAATTCTCTTCATTCTAAACCAAGCTACTTGAAGGGAGTTCCAAGTTGTGCTAGTTCGAAACAAGTGGGAAGTTTTAAATTGTCATTTTAAAAAGTTTGTTTGAAGGGTCCACTATTGGTGCCTTTACCCCTTGAATAAAATCTTGCATTATTTTGCTTTCTCTTAAACCAGTGCATATAAAAAAAAATTCTGTTGTTCATACACACTAAGTAAACTAAGCAACATTAATAGAAAATGAATGCACTAAACTGAAACCAAAAATAATTAAAAATTGTTTGTACAGACAGTGAAACCAAAACTTTTTTCTTTCAGTAAATAAATGGCTTTTGAATTAGAACCAAATGAAACTTTTGTTTTTTAAATGATCTTCCAAAATACATTTAACTTGTTATGCTGGGCCAATTTAAGACATGACATAAAGTGCCAAAATTTCGAGGTCCATGGTTTTCAGAAAGCAGACATTTTGTTATATATTCTTTATTTTATTAATCAGGGGGAAATAGTTAGACTTATTATCATCATCATCATCACTCCTTTTGCCTAGGATTGGAAAGAAATGGTTGAAAACTTAGGTATATCAAAGTTCTAAAAAACTGTCATTAATTTACAAATTTACAGAAACAGGAAAAACATTTGGAAGTTTGAATATCAAAACAAACTTTTTGTTATCTACAACCAAAATATTTCATAAACTGAAATATAAAACAATTACATACCTCCTATAAAATATATTCAAACTAACTCTGAAAGTGTTTACGGGAGGAAAACTGCAAATACAATTGAATGAAATTCATTACAGTTGTGACACTCATGACAGACATGACAGTTGTGGACAGAATTTAAGAAATACTGAAATATATAGTGTCGTTTTGTAGGCTGAGAGTAATAAAATGCTTAAATGCAGTATGTGTCCCAATTTACCCAATTTTTTTCATGAAGGAAATGTCACAATGTCCCATTTCTTTTTGGATTTTAAGATCTGGTCAGTTATTGAAAATGCTAAGTTACTTTCAGCTTTCATAGAGCTCAGATGTTTATAACAATTTATATGCAAATCCATGTTTATTTAGTGCATAACAAACTAGGGGGGGGGGGGAATTGGTGGTAATGTTTGTATTTATCACAATTTATCTATAAGTCATATGAACAATAACTTAAAATATATTGGAGAATGAAAAACTTTTCAAAACGAAATGCAAAGTCAAATTACAAGTGTCCTTGAATTTGGAAACATTATGATTTTCAGATAATAGAAAATTTTGTCATTGTTGGCCTTCAAGGGAGAGATTAATTTTATCACTTTCAAAACAGTTACCAATTGATGAAGACCAGCCCATTATTTACAGAAGTAAAAAAATTAATGAAAATGAAAAGCCTATTTTAAACTGATAGAAAGATAATATTTGGTGTGTGTAAAGTATGAAAGAAAACTCAATAATTCCCAAGCCTAGTTTTCTTAATGTCCATAGTTTCATAAAACAATAATGTTAAAAAAAATATACTGACCAAAACTAAAGGGGAAATGTAAACTAAGTGTATACAATCAGAACAAAGAAAACCTTTTAATTAGCAACTTTCTAACAAACATATTTTAATGCCACTTTCTTGCAACAACACACATTTTTATTTTCGTTACCTACTAACTGTTCACTCATGTGGTGTTGAGTCTTAAATTCTTTTATGTGTAAAAAATAGCAGAGGCAGAATTTGTTACGTTGCATAACAATTTTTGGTAATATTCTAACCCAAAGTATCTATCAAGTTTTTTGCTAATCTGTTCTTACAATATGAAATATTTTGTCATTCAAGATGTTACAAGATTGCAATTATGTTTCAAATTATAATGTTTAATACACGTATGAAACTTCAGCATTGCTAAGTATTAATTACAGCTGTTTCATTAGTTTGCTATTGCGTTTCTAATTTCATAAAGTTCATATTCAGACCAAATTCATTAAAATACACCACTAATATACAATGTTTAACCAATAACCCTGTAGTTGAGGAATTTGTCGTCGCGCTTGCAGACGCGCACGCGCCGCGTAGTGTGTGAGCGTGTGATCGATGCGGTGTGTGTGTCGTGTGTGCTGTGTGTGGTGTGTGTGACGTAGTGATGTCGCGTGTGTGTGCGGCTGTTGTGTGTAGTGTGTGTGCGTGTGTGTGCGTGTAGCGTCGGTGCGTCGGCTGCGCGCTGCGTGCGCGTGCGTGCTCTGTGCGCGATGCGTCGCGTGCGCGCGCGCGCGCGTGTGCGTGGGTGCGTGATCGTGCGTGCGTGCGTGTGTTGTGTTTATTGTTTTTTTCTCTCCTCCCTGTAAGTAATTGATTTTTAGAATAATTATAAAATAGCATGTATTTATAATCAGATATGGCTTAAGTTTGACACTTAATTCACTCCAAAGTGTAGAAGTTTTGTCTTTTGTAAATGCTTAAAGCAGACCTAATTTCCTCCAATTAACCATAATTATTTAACTTCATTACCAGACATCATCACTAGTTACAGATACCCACACAACAGTTGTAACCTTCTTGCTCCCCATCCTCAATTGAATGAAATTTCAAACAAGATATCCATTCTGATTTTATTGCCTCTGACAATCTACTTCATAAACTACAAAAATAAACTCTTTAAGTACACCTCCAAACAATCATTTCTGATTAAGTACTTTACTTAAAAATTATTGTAAAATTCTCAGAAAATGCCTAATTGTAGATGAATCTACTGATCTAATGGGATTTTATACAGGCTTTTCCACTCATGAAATAAAACCAATAGAGTTTAACTAAAAACATAAAACACCCCAATCAGGGTAATGAATCTCAAACAATATATCACTTTTTCGATTCTCTTTTCCTTACTGCTCCTCCCTATTGGCCAATAATAAGCTGCAACTCGCCTATCTTAGGAAATGGTATGTATTAGTCGCTGTCGATGTCAAAAAACAGTGTGTTATAACATAACCTCTGATTTTAACATGCTATCAGTTATTTTCAATATTTGAGGCATTTTCGAACTCTGTTGGTAGTAATTTCATTTATGGAATACTCCTATTAAAATACCACACGAACTTTAGAATTCTCAGACAAATCCCCTCCTTGTTTCTCAAGTCATGGTTTATTGACAATTTCCAATGCAATGTCATATTACCTATGATAATTGGCAGTGATGAACAAAAATTACCCCTACATAAAAGCATATTACTGGGTACCAAGAAGGGTTTAGCACAGCTCTTTAATAAACTGTACTTGTTAAAAATTTTAGTTGCATTGTTCCAAGATTTAAAGTAAATGTTATAAAGTGTATTTTAGTTCTGTCTACCGAATATATTACAGACTACTTATGGCCTAAAAAGTGAAAATATGATCATAAAATAGGTTTCTCTTCGGAAAATAGAATTGTGTATTACTTTATGGATGAATAACATTTGTACCTCACAACTAGAAACATAACATATCTAAATTCAATAAAAAATAATGCTTGAAATTTTAGCTTTCCAATTTGATCCTTTAATATTTTTAATATCCTTTTTCACCTTCCACGCTAGCAATAATCTCAGTTCAACAAAATCCATAATTAATTTTAAAAATTACCAAATATTTTGTCAACCTCAAAGTTCAAACATAACCTAAAATTAACACAATCATTGAACCACTTACTTGAAAATCCTGAATCAATACGGTTTTCTTCATCACTCCGTTCATTATTAGAGGTATGTTCTTGTCTGTTCCCTTGATGATCTCTCAAGATGTCATCGGCAAGACCTAATGTGTCGTATATGTGTTAAATAAAATGTTTGTTTATTGTGATATTGTCGGTGCACAAGAAAATGTTATCCAAAAATTGTTGTTTTGTTTAAGAACATTCTTATCTTTAGAAGGGTTGTTTATTTTGCTACCAAAAACTTCTCTACTCTACATGAGCAGACTTTTCTATATAGTTTTTCATTGATCTAAGATTTTTCTTGTGCACTGATTATACACTAAATATATGATAATAAATTCAAATTATTTAAACATACTGTTGAAAAGATGAAATGTTTGATGAATGGCATCTTTACGTTTCATATCAACCAAAGCTTGAACAACTTTTTCAATTGTAGAATCATCCTTCTGTATGTAATGTTGAAGTACATAATATGTGTATCCTTCATTTCCCAGTTTACTGCACTCTATTACCTGAAAAATGTTATGCCAAGAATACATACTTATTGTTCTTACATAGACTAGTCTCATTAAGTGTAAATAACTTAATCACCTGAAATGCGGATTAAATTGATTATTCCAGAAATACTGCTACTCTCAAGTAACACAAAATTGTCTTATGAAATATTTAATCTTCAAAATAAGGCAAGTGAAATAAAAACAAAATGAGCTTACTCTCAGTATTTCACTGCCAAGTCCGAGATGATGTCCAAACGTGCCCCACCCAGGTGTAAGTAAGGTGTCAAAATTTCCATCCAAAAGGCGCAGTAACTTCTGTAGTAAAGGCAGGAACTTGCCATCGAACAGCCATCCTGCGTGAATTCTTTTAGTTTTCCACAACAACTGATTAATGTCGCAGTCATTGCGCGGATCTTTCAGTCCCTCCTCTCTCAAAACTTCTAATTTTGGATTGGGTTGAATACTGCATTGACAGTACAAGGAAATTAGAATTGTACATTTCAAGAGTAGAGTGTAAAAATGAAACGAAGTTGAAAACTTACGCCTTCGTGAACGCCCTGCCTGTCTCGTTCATGATCTGTGCGGGTGCGATTGTTTTTTCTCTTTTAGTGTGGTTTACTAGTACTACATCTGACATGACGTACTACCCTTCACCTAGAACACGATGCGGCCAGTTTCTGGCCAGTTCACCACTTTCGTGATTAACTGCCATTCGCTGGCTGGCGCTAGCTGCTTCACTTTTCCTCCTTGGCGTTCCGTGTTACGTCACGCCTTTCTCGGAAAGATGGCGTGTAAGACGCCCGCGCACGATTAAAGCGGGTAATTCAAATACGAATACGAAGTTTCACATAATCCCATCTCTTTATAATAGACTAAAGGAAGGTGATGGACTATACCCTTTTATACGAAACCGTGGACGCAAAAATTCCGTAAGTGTATTACTGCTAGATAGGTAATTAGTTCCTAGGGGTAATTATCCTCCAAAAAGTCGAAAAACAGAAGTTCGTGAAATTATTTATCGTCAAAAAAGTTAAAATTGTGAAACGTAGTGTGGAGTGAAGTTTACTCTGTGCACTTTTTTTCAAATTCTAGGATTCCTTATTAACCCATATATACAAGTTGAATTATAAATTCAGGTGGAAACGAGCGTTTTTGGCAACAATTCTTTAAAAAAAATAATATTCGCTCTTGTGTAATTTAACCAAAAACCGAAGCATATGTAACTCTGAGGATGGGAGACGATAGGCTGCCGAAGAAAGCGTTAAATGGTAAACTGGCAGTAGACCAACGGGAAAACCAAATAATAGATGAGAAGATGCCGTGGTTAGGGATGCAAGAGAATTCTTGGGCATACGGATGTGGAGAAGAGATGCCAAAGATACGCAAGGATGGAAGAAATATTTTCTGAAGACCAAGGTTAAAGTTGGATAGTAGATCCATTGAAGATGAGGATGATGATGATGATGGTCATGCACATTGAGATGGAGATGAACTATACGGATTATGGCATTGCTTACCAGGCGCACACGCAACCTGCAAAACATATTGTGCCTCCGCAGTTCCATCGTGCATAATTCGGAAACGATGCATTAGAAGCTTAAAACCAGTTTTTGGTGTAACTAAAGTTATATTTTCTGAAGAGTATTCTACCAAATTAGTACGGGAGCATGTGAACATGCGGTGAACACGTTCAGGTGGAGAGAAGAATTGAGTAAATTCTTCTGGTGAACCTCTCATCCTTACCAGAGTGGACAGAATCGAGCGAAAACAATTTACGCGTTAATAGGCTTGTCATGATGGGCTTACGTGCTTCGACGTACAGTTTAGGTTCTGGTCTGAATTTGGGGATTCAGTACTTATGAAGCAAATTTCATATTTGAAACGATTTGTAAAGTGCGGAGAGTTCACGAGGGGCTTACGAGATTTTTGCATGGTAACTGTACAATCGTGATGTGGTAGAAAATTATATATGTGCACCCCAAAACTAAAGGATTCGTTTAAAATTGTTATAGGGATAAATTTAACCATATTTATATTGAGAGAGAGATTGCTATAATAAGGAAAATATCAATTGTCATTTTGGAAGATACGAATTGTTGTTTGGATAAATTTGACCATATTTTATAGATAGTAATGACAACAAGAAGGGACCGCTTTGACAGCTGCTGCTTGGCCATTGCTGGCAATATAACTGTAAGTTACGTGCATACACTCATTTTGTCAGGGTTCGTTTACAATTAGCTCATTTGTAAGTGGCTTCATCACATCTCTTACGATGTCATCGCCCTGCATGACGTTCATTTGTTTCCCGGCCTATCAAAATGGTCCCTTCTTGGAGTAATTCCTATATATCATGTACAATTTATATGTACATGATTTTACTTTCTTACGCTTACTATCGTAAGAAGAGAAAGTATTGAAATCGTGCACCGGAAAACGGCAAATTTTCGACACAATAACTCTTATTGTCGGGCCCTAGTATCAAATAAGTGGTTAATTCCAATTGCTGCCCTGTTATGCGAGTCCTTCATACCGAAAAATCTATTGACGGCAAAACATCTGCCCCTCCCCGCACGCCCCGCCCCGCCCCGCCCCGCCACGCTCCGTCTGCCCTGTCCGTGCGCAACGCCATAAACCTTTTCAGCGCATTTTCTCCAATATTGATAATTCCCCGTCGTTTTAGCTGTTGTCGCGGATCCTGGAATTTGAAACTGAAATGTTAATGAAGTCCCTGGCACATTCTCAAAAAATATTTTAGAATTTTTTGATTAAATTTTGTTGTTGAATAGTGCAAAGGACGTTTAAGAGAATAGCGCAGGTCTCATTTTCGTTGACATCGTTAATTTTTTGAAAATTGGAAAAAAGATTAAATTCAAAATTGAAGATTGTCTCAGTCTGTTGTACTGTCTTGCGCTTCCAAAAAAGTCCTGTACCGTTTTCTGAAAAAACGAGTAGTTTTTGCGCATTTTGCGATTGAAATTTTGCAACAAAAGAAATGTGCTCATAAACAACTCCAACTTTTTTTTTCTTATTTTCATATATGTAAAAAGAGGCAAAAAAACAATATGGTGCTAGTTATATTTTCGGGTATTGCTCGGTTTTTTGAAAATTTTAAAATACTTTTAAAACTACAAAATTGAAGATAGAGATTTTGTTCAGGCAGGCTGTTGTACAAAATTTGCGTTATTTTTTGGTTGAAATTAATGAAATATATACAAAATGAAATACTATGGACCTCAAAGAAAATTGAATGAAAGATATGAAAAATAATTCCACGAGTAATATCCAGGTAATTAATTTGGAGTATTTATTAATTTGAGCTTTTCTTTCGGGGCCTAAAGACAATTCTAATTTCTAAGATTTATAAGACTTATCTTGAAGGATACATGCGCAATGTTGCGGATATGTATTTTAATTATAATATGCAAAATAAAAACGGGTTATTATATCACTTATTAATGTTTATTTATTGTTTTCTATTTAGTTGTTATTTAGTTATTTATTTTTCATATCTTTTAATTAAAGACCGTCATTGGACAGATTAAATAAGAAACACGTCACTTGAAAACGTATATATATTTGGATTCTGTGGTCACCACACTTCAACCCACTTGTAGTAATTTCGCCTAATATGACATCTCTGTACTGCACTTAAAATTTCTAGTTTTTCCATTGCATTAATTTTTGGATGTTCCACAATTCACTTGTGTTGGAACACTAGTAACAGAATTTTTTTTTTTTTTAATAATTTTGTTTAATGAACTCTCTTCAAAGATGGATCTTTAAATAAGGTCACATACAATTTTTAGAAAAAACGTGAGTATATTTCACGCAATTTTGGGTGAAAAAAAATTAATTTAAAAAATAGTTTTTTGGGAAAAGTTTTTTTTTTTCTTCTTTTTTCATTTCTTTTTTCTTTTCTTTTCTTTTCTTTCTTCAGTTTTTCTCCAGTAGAACAAAGTACACATAAAAATGGTGCAGGTCCATTCATGATTAAGTGGGGGCAATTAAATTTCAGATTTGACCTACAAGGTCAAAACTGTTTGAGTATTGTTTATTGAATGACTGATGAATGACGTTACTGGATGCATTGGAAGATTGTCTTTGTAGCTTTGAGAAGACCTTTGACCCGAGATATTTTTCCTGCAGTAAAGTACATGGTGTTAAACATATACTGATAATTATATTTTAATAGACTAATAGGTTGCATGCTTTGCATTAGAGTTTAGTTTTGAGGCTTACTTTTTAGTATGTTTTGAAAGATAAATTTTTCACCAATTTGTGGGAAGTTTTTGTTATGTATCTGCTATTTCTTGCAAGTCTTCTTTTAGTAGAAACATTCTGTATTTTTCTTGTTATGATTTGTTTAATGATTATGTTAATTATGTTCTGCATAGCTTTCATATAATAAGCAAAAGCAATTCTTACTAACTTTTTCCAGGTTTAAGAAACGCCTCAAAGATGAGTGTGTTCCAACTGACAAGTGGCCTTTAGCTCATAGCATATTAGATTGGTATGAAAAGTTGGAGAACTCAATTGATGCTTCAGATTCATGGTTTGAAACATCTGGCCATGGTTTAACTCAGTATTGGGATTGTGAAGGAAATTTACTTTGGAGTTGGAAGTCTGGAGGGTACAAAACAGTTCTTGATTTGTTAATGGTAAGTGAACATACAAAGTATTTCTAGAAGTAGAGTAATGAAAGAGTAAATGGTCACCATCGAATATTTACTTTCTATTCACTAAATACTTTGAGCCATATATGTATCTTACAGATTAGTGTGTACCTTGGGTATTCTTTGAAAAAGTGTTTTGTATATTTGCTACCTTCTTTATTGAAGAAAATATAAAGACATATTTTTATAATGCTCACCAAAGCATATAATGAGAAGGCAAATATGATCTCACTCAACAAACAAGTGTGTTGCCCCTATCTGTAGAAAGGAGGTCTATCAATATATTTAATATATATTAATATATATTTAT